TATACGTTTCTGGATATATATATATATATATATATATATATATATATATATATATATGCACTGTATATACGTAGACGTGGGTATTATGTAGGACGAATGCCGATATGCAACGGAGCGACAAAGATCATTAAGGAGCTCGAAGGAGATAGTGATTAATAGGAGGTGTTACAGGTGCGAGTAATAGAGACCGTAGACGTTCCGGAGTAACGTATCAATCGTTTGCGGTACTGTTAAATATTTTTTGAGAAATTAAAAATAAATCATGAAAATCGTACGAACCAAGCGTCGTTTTTAAATGCCTTTAAAGAATGAAGTGATAAAAACGTTAATGGGCATTCAGAAGATCCTTCAACAGTTTCCTCGTTGAAACAGTGGTAAATCAATAGTCTGACTCTATCATTATACATATAGACGCCTTGAGTATCTCGGTACCAAGTGGATAAAAGTCAACAGGAGGATCCCGAGCTTTAATTCAAACTATTCGAACCAACCCTAAACGCAAAGTCCTGATGCGAGTGAGGAAACTGGAGTGAAGCTCCCATGACGTATAAGGAACTTGGGTCCATGTAGGAAGTTGGTGGGCAATAGCCCCGTACCGTCAATTACGTCATACAGGTCTCCGAACGAAGTTTCCCCATTATCATCGCCATTATCGTATCAATAATCAAAATTTTCGTCGACCGGAACGACCGTCTCGAGAAACCTTGCGGCGTCACAAGAAATCTGAATTTCGACAGATCGCGATGTACGTTGACTACGAAAAAGTCTGACTGATGGTAAGTAGCTTTAATCGAAATGAGGGGAAGATAAGCAGGAGGGGGGATGTTCTCTGAATCGATCGGAAAGTATCCATGGGTAAGGAGGGGTGGTGGGAAAGTACTTATGGATAGAAGATTCTCCTCCCCTCCCTCCAACCCTTCGATACAGGCAGGTAGGGAAAGATCAGGGGGGTTCCAATGGATGACCAGAGACCAATCATCCACTTTGGGTATGACACCAAGAGCGTTGCAGGACCACGTGGGTGGTGGCACTGATCGGCCGTGGTACGATGTCCGATAAGATTCTGATAAGGGCGAAGCCAAGGGGGTGCAATTAGAAATTACAGAGCATCGTACAGAGCTCGTAGCGGATTAGCAGTTATTAAGTTCGGGCTGATCGGTTTGGTTTGTCGAGGCTAATGGGCAGCGCCCTTTGGGCGGGAATCAGCTGACCGTCCGGCTGTCAAATTTCCAGTTGAGCGTCGCTGGCTGCGGGCTCTCAGATTGGGTTAGCAAAAGGGCGCAGTTGGGCGAGAGGGTGCCGGCGATGATGGTGGTTGGGGGTTCGCTGGGACCAGGGTAGGATCAGGAGGATGAGGAGGGGGAGGAGGTTGAGGGTGGCTAGAGGGTGTTATTAGGGGTTGCTCATAGGGTGGCAGCGCGATCAATGCCAGGGAGTCATGCTAGCCCCCTTTGAATCCATATATATATATATATATATATATATATATGTTCACATATAGCCACACATATTCAATGTAAAGGGACTCCTTACACGTGAGGGTATTCCGAGGGTGCGCGTTTACCAGTGCGTGTGAATTATCGGACTGCGTATGTTCACATATAGCCACACATA